CAAAATACAATTAAAATTCTAAAAGAAAATTTTCCAACCCAAATCCTTTCAGATTCATGAATATTTTTAAAAATACTGTTTTCAGACAGTATTATTTTCATCTAATTTAAAATTAAAATAAATTTTGAAATTTCCTCTAAAATAGTAGTATGAACTATGACAAGCTTTATCCAATTTATCCAAAGCACTTCAGATATGAAGCTTGTGCATATAAGAAATGTGTTTGTTATGAAGTTGTATTTTTTTCTCATAACTGTTCATCACTGTAGTAAGATTTTGGGGTCACTTCATGACTGGAAGGAAGGAAGAACTTGCCTGTGTCTGCATGAGCAGTTTTCTTGCAGTAGCTGGAGTAGAGCACCCTGCTGAAGTGGTTGCTCCTGAACTCTGCACGAGGCCAGCATGTTAGGCTGGGAGCAGTGGGTGGATTAATTTGAAGTGTTCCCATTAGGCAGCCAAGGTAACTCTGCTTAAAATCGCAAGCGTAGATGTGGAAGTGACATCTCAGCTGGTGTGTTCAGTGATGGCTAGGAGCATCCCGAGACACTGGTACATCATTGACTGGCCCAGGCTGGGGACCGTTCCCAGGAGGCACTTTGCCTGTGGCCACCCTGATGGCAGCCAGTGGGGGTTAATTTATGGGTGGAGGCTGTTGTGTGCGGCAGTGGGAGCCACAATGGAAAAGACACTTGTATCGATGGGAGAAGTTTTTTTATCATTTTTCATTTGACTTGCTTTTGTGAAGCAAAAATTTAAATAATGGTAATTATTTAAAAATGGTGAAATTAACTGCATCCTAGGGAGAGGGCTCATATATTCTTCAGCTCACGTGGAGAGCTTGCTTGGTGACTTCTTCACTGGCTTAGCAGTTTTTGTGTATTTTCAGAAGTACAGAACCAAAGAGGTCTATAAACAAGAAACAAAATAGCTGTAAGCAGAAAAATAAATACAGCATTGTCAGCTCAATATTGTTTATCTACAGCTGAATCCTCATTAACTTCTTGTATTTGATATATTTTTACAATGTATAGTCATAATACGTGCAAGAGTGCTCCCCCTTGATTACTGGCTTCTTTGCATGGGGCCAAAATCCATTGCTTCCATTACCAGTTTCATCAAAGCATATTGGACAATATGGAATTTTCTGTGCCTGACAGACAAGAAAGGAGAATGACTGTGTTTGTACAAAATATGTTTAATTTTACTTTTTATATAAATTGTTTCTTTGTTCTTTATGATCAGAGCTGATCTCCATGCCTTCTTAGGTATTCACCAGAGCTAACTGCAGAGGACATTTGCGGGTGGGATCATCACTGAGGCAGATCTTCAGAGTATGTACAAGTAGTAGATATATTGCACCTCCTTTGTCTGCAGGTTCCAACCTGCAGAGGGGAGCAGGCTCCGCTGTGGTTGTGCACTGTGCATGATGCTACCAGATTAACGGAGATTTCATGCTGAATTTTGAAAAGAGAGGTGTTTCTGACCTGAATTGTAGGAGGAACTACAAATACCCAAGGAGTTTACCTTTGAAAATTATTTTTATTTTTTGTAGTCTAAACATGACCTTTGACATAAAGACATAAATGTTTAGACAAGTTTTTAGTGTGCCTAATACATAATGTAAAATCTTGCAAAATACCTCGAACGCACATTTATCTCAAAACAGTTTGTTAGTAAAACAGTGATATATATTGCAACAGTTGTGATCAGCTGACAAACCACTTTGATACTGTGCTGCAGCACGACTGTTTCAAAGCCATGACATCTCCTGCATCTCAGTGGCATAAACACTGCTTGTGTCAGATTGCACAGTCACTTTGTCATGGTTGCAAAGGGAAAGTTCAGTCCAAAAATGGACATTTTTTACTTCCTGCCAAGTTGCGTGAAATTCAGACTCTGGCAACCAGAAGAGACTCTGAATCCCCTGATGCACATCAGTACGCTGCAAGATCAGGAGCGGTGACAGCAGAGGGCTGTGGGGACCACCATGATGCATGAGATGCTCCTCTCTGCCTTGTCCTCTATCCTCCCCAAGAAATAACTCTGTGCATGGGGCAGGGCTGGACCAGGCTTTCCTTTTCCTCTTGGCTCCCGTTTTAAACAGGAGGCAGCACCACGTGCCTACTTGTCGCGTGGTTTTGTCATGGGGAGGACAGGATGCAGCGGCACGGTGAGCAGAAGATGCTGCACACTCCCCAAACCACCGTTTGACTGCTGAGCGGTCTGAGGCTGCTCGCAAAGGCAGCGCTAGGTGCTAGGTTCCCAAGCACACCTCCTGCCACCGTCTTTGTTGCTGAATTCCCTGACTTCTAGGGAGAATTAAACAAGGAGGATAGAAATATAGACCTCTGTGGCTCCTTGCACTCATTTTCCCTGGCTTAAGTTTGTATTTACTCCTCCATTGACAATTTAGAGGCCGGTGTAACTGAGGTCAGTATTTGGCTCTCTGTGTCTCTTTCATCATCTGCAAACTGGAGATAGTAGTGTTTAGTATGGCTGTGTGAATAATTCATGGCATGGCTCCTTATTAAACAGATGTTTCTTCTCTGTTTGTAGATAGTCAGCAAATGGATTGCACTTTTTTCAAATTTATTTGTTGTCCAAATTATTCACCAAATACTTTCTGTAAATAATTTTATTGGCCTATTGTGCACTTAGAATATGAATTGGAAGGCTGCCTTATATGAGTATCTGTCATTGCTGGTTAAAATTTTTTATTTCGGCAACTATGTCCTCACCAAACTTGTCTCACAGAGCCTGAGAAAATAATACAAGGATGGCACAAATATGTTAAGAGTGAACGTTTAGGGAAGTATTCTTTTTCCTTTACTGCTGATGCAGCTCTAATACTAATCTGCCTCACTGGGTGTTATGAAGATTGGAAATGTGTTTTCTGAATATGAAATACTGCTTAAGCAGACAGGGATACCCCAGCCCTGGCTGCTCTTCCCTGTCTCTTCTTTCGGTAGCAGGTGTTACGTGGCAGTGTATGGTCCAGCTACTGGTGAACACAGGGTTTGATGTGAGCACGAGAGGAGGTACCCTGCTGTGCTCAGAGCCCCTGAATCAAGCAGACATCCATGAGACTAATAGAATGGGTGAGGGCCCAGAGAGCAAGTAGCACGGCATGGTTTGGCTCTTATCCATATGGCTGAACTCCCTTCCTTCCCAAAAGATGTCTGTACTGACTTACAGATATGGTCTGTGAGCTGTGCTATTCTCCAGAGCTTTCCAGGTAGGCTTTCCTGGGAGTCTGGACCTTTGCCGCAGACTGTACAGACAGTATGGATGTGTGGATGTCCCTGTATTTGGGTCCTAGTTTCTGGCATCTCAGGAATACATTTAAAAGCCTGCTGGTTGCTCAACTGCATTGCCCAAAGACTGGGTGGTTATTTGTTTACTTGAAGATCCATTTAGGATGTGCTCAGCTGCTCCCCATGCCCCTTCCCTGGCAGCTAGGGGAAGGGACATGCTGGTGGTGTCCCTGGAAAGGGGCTGGGAGGGGATTGGAGCTCCCTGTTTACCCTCTGGGAAACATGACAGGCTGGGAGGGGAACTGGGAATCCAGCTGTTGGCTTGTGTTTACAGAGTAGGAGCCTGTCAGGGCAGACTGTAATTGTTGTGTGTGCTCCCATTAATTCAGATTAGATCATTGCAGGGGATGAGGACAGTTCATGCAGGTAGACCCCAAGTATGTTTTCTGTCTCTAATGTTTAATTGTAACAATGTCATGTTACAGCTACATGAACTTCTCGGGGATGTTCTAATAGTGCGTTAGTCTTCAGAATATCTTTCAAGTGGAATGGATAAGCGAGATCCTTGGGGTGCGTAGAAAATACAGACCTCTAGCATACAATAGGTAGTCCCTTTTTCTGAAGGTGTATTAGTTTTCTTATCCCCTGCTGTGTTGTTTCAATAATAAAAGGGAAAAAAATACGAAGTTCTTGGTGAGGAGCCCATCAGATGCAGTTCCTGTACAGCCTTGCCCAGGAGACAGTCTGCTGGGAATTTTTTGGAGTAAAAATGGCTGAAGCCGCTTCAGTCACAGTAACTGAATGGTGAAAGAAGTTAGGGTCTCTTAAACCTCATTTATATATTTCTCTTTTCATGATTGCATCTAGTACTGCCCAGGATTTCTTTTAGCATTGAAGAGAAATAGATAAAAGGGCCAGGAAAACAAAGTCATTGGTGTTAACCAAGAGGTGTGGACCCTGACTGGCCACACTTGCTCACTCAAATTAAGAAACATAAGCCAAAAAGTTTCCTAACAGTGGGAAAACACAGGGTCAGTTTGAAAAGGACCAGAATATTAGTTCTGCTCTTGCTTTAACTACTCACGTGTTGGTGCTGATTGACACTGTGCAGAGTTTGTAAACTGTTAAGTTTTGTATTTAGCTTCAAATCAAATATGTTGGTGGAAGTGACAAATGTAGTGATGTAGGCTTGCTTCACATCTAGAAATAACCTGTACAGTAGCTTGTTTTCACTTGATATTTTGTCAGAGCTACTGGGAAAAAAGGGGGGAGTAAAAAGGTTTCCTTAGCCTTTACTAAAAATTTTCATAGGTAAGGGCATGCAAAAGACTAAGTATAATAAAACTGTTGCCTTGAAAAAAAAAGAAGTTGTTTTTAAAGTGTCTGAATCAGTTCTCTGTTACAGTTGTTTGTTAAGTGGGTTTTATTTCAAGAGCACTGATGATGGTGGTTTGGGGAAGTTATGTTAAAAATCTTGTCAGGATTAGAGCAGACACACTCCTCCACCTGCCTCTTTCTCAAGCAATAAATGCGGTTGATAACATGTTACTAGAGATGTGGATCTCAGGGTTTCCTTCTTCAGCCTTTTTTATTTGCTGTAGTTGAATTAGCCATTGTACTGAAATACCAGCCACCAAAAGAAAGTGACAGATAAGTGCTGTCAGACCAGTATAGCCATATAAAAATGCCCTCCTCCCACTGCAGCTGGTGAGAGACAGGGCTGATCATGGCAGCACTGAAAGTGTGATGGCGAGAGATCCCATCACCATAGCCTGCATCCGGAGAGGGGCAGGTGGGAGCTGAGGGGTCCTTTGTGCTCTCCTCATCAGGCTAAACTTGCTTCTTACTTAAATCATTGCCCTTCCTATCCATAGCTGTCATGAAGGAATTGAGTTTGCAGAGGCCAGTGGTGAATGGGGGACCTCTTGGCCTGTACCAAAGCAGAAAAGGGCTGAATACGAGGCACGTTTTGGGTTTGGTTTGGTTTTCCTCACACCAGCATGCTTCTGCGAAGCCTGGGGAAGGCAGTGATGGTGAGGCTGAAGGTGTCCATGAGGTGTCCTGAGTTGATCAACAGCTCCTTGCCACTGAGAGAGGCGATGTCCACCTTTGCCCCCTTCCTCCTGGTATCCCACCGCTGCCTTGGAGGGCAGAGTTGGAGAGGGAAAAGGGGCACCCCAGTCAAATCTGAGTAGTGGATTATGTTTGACAGTTTGGAACAAGGGCAGTGCACATCTATTCTTCTTCAAAACCATACCTGCTGAGTGGTTAAAGGAGAAGTTTTATGTCCTATGGCTTCTTATACAATGTCATTTTGCTTTGAGCAGATAGGCTGGGGCCTCCTCTTGACATACTGCTGGATTCACTGAACTGCACAGCATTCAGCGTGCAATGGAGGATGCCAAAGCAGCATGCGAGCACCATCACGGGATATACGGTAAGCGATCCTCTATGCTCCTAGTAGAGGCTTGCAGTACCCTACATGGTCTCAGACTACGCACATGGCATGGCGAAGGAAGCAGGAGAGCCCACGCTCATAGCAGATTGTGCCATTACCCAGAACGCAGTCAAGGGACAGTGGGCTGGAATGGATTAAGCTGTAACTTTAAGAAACAAGCAGTTCATGTTTCAGAAACAGGCTATGATGGGAATTTGGGTTGGATGCCAAGGGCCTGTAGTGGATATAGATTGCTTTTCTGTTGCGGTTTTCATGCAAGGGTCTCGGTGCTCTCTGCAGCTGATAAAACAGCAGAGTGGAGCAGGTCCATATTACACTGTGCAGGTGAGGGGAGATCCATGTTGATTTCAGGGCTGTTGAGATCCTTAGACTCATACTTCCAGCCTAGGGATTGCTTTAGCAGGAATAGCTTTTCCAAACTACACCTCCGAACCTTCCCAGAGTGGCAGCAGGTACAGGGGAAGGAGAGTTTCATGGTTTCTCTTCCCCGATAGATACTGTACTGCATGGCATCCATGGGAGCCCAGCCACAGCCATAAATATGAAAAGACACTTCTTTTTTTATGCCTTCCTAAGCCTGTGGTGAATTTTCCTTAAAGAAGTCGGGTGATTTTCCTGTTTTATCCAACAATTTTGTAGGGGAGGCTCTAACCCTCTCCAAGCCTCAGCCATGCTACCTTCTGCCTGTTGGGCAAAGTGTAGTGGCTAGCTTAAATGTGGTACTGTGTTTTAGAGTGCAGGCAGAAAACCAATGAGCACTAATCTGCCACTTATACATGTTTATTAGGTATTGCTTTAACAGATGTTCCATGGCAATGGAACTTGGTCCCAAAATGGAAGTTAGTCAGCAGGGAATTAGCATCAAAGATGTGGGATATCTACTAGAAATGGTTGGTTTCTCCTTTAACAACAGCAACAAAAAATAGCAGTTGTTTTTGTTAGCATTTTCTGTGGAAGGATTTGAAATTTCCAGAAAAAATAATCCAAAATTCAGTTTTATGTAAAAAGGTGGGAAGCAGAAAACTTCTGATTACTTTTATTATTAATGTATGCTAAAAGAGTGAGAAAATTCCCTGAAACAGGTATCTCTGGTACACACGCCACTTCATCCTATGATCTTGTAAATGATATTAATGCAGCCCAGCTGCAGGACTGTTTTTATTGTTATGAAAGTGCTTGTTGTCTAGGACACCAAGAATCACTTGCTGCGTCCAGAGCCTGCCTTAGCCAGGCTGTGTGTTGTTGGGTCTGTTCTTCTGTGTGAAAACAGAGGTGCAGTAAGTGGCTTTTCTATGGGTCGTGATGTTTTTCAAACAGTTGCAATACTTTGTAGTCACAAATCATAAATAGTTTTCACTGTTCATGCCGTACATCAAGCATCCAAGCCCCAGTTTATTTTTAAGCCTTGAGCTCATGTGTGGCATGCTGGTAAAACCAATGACAAACAGCATTGATAGTGCTAAATCTTCAGCTGTCCAAGCTGACCACGGCCAAATGATGCATAATTAAAGTTGTCAGTTCAAGTCTTCCCCGAAAGCTAGGCTGTGTTTCACCTCAGTTCAGCATATACACTGTAAGATGGTGTCCTTTGGTCATACTGACAACTTGTAAGAAATATGAAGGCAATGTTAGAGGGCATTACCTTTTCATGCTTTTGAAAAGGTAGGGGATCATAGGCTCAATGCTGTCCACAGTGTGATAACAATGCACTTTTTAAGTCATTCTGAAGCATTGCGTTACAGCTATAAGCAGCTTGACTATATCTTCTTTCCAAGGTCTTTTACTCAGAGGTTGAAGATGACAAAGCAGTTAAACAGCTCTCACACGATGTTCCCCTGAGTTTGGATATGCTTAGCATGGTGAGTAGTTTTTTTCGTCAACAGTCAGAGCACCAGAGAGGAGCTTGCAAATGGGAACTTGCAACTGTCTACTTGCTGCTGGTTTGTGAATTAGGCTGACGATCCAAGCCCCATACCCAATACTTTGGGTATTGAGCAAAAGGAAATCACAATTTTTTTCTGTAATCCGGGTGGTGTGATACATTTTTGTTCCTTGTTGTCTGACTAGTTTAGCATGTAAAACTATTGGGACTTGCTTGCGTCTTCCTTGTACTGACCTTTGGCATGTACTAAAATAGAACTTTTAGTTTTTAATATGCATTTTCTGTACACTTCCACATATGGAAGGGGAATTGCATGATTCTATGCACAATCAGAGTTGCAATATCAGTGTATGTGCATTGCAGTGTCTGACAGGTAAGTGAGTGAGTTAAAGGATACACAGCTTTCAGTGTGTTTTTGTCTCTGTGTAAGACTGTGGCCTCCTGAAATACAGAATTTCAAGTTTAATACTGCTGCTTTAGTTGCAGTTGTGCCAGTCCATCTCCTAGAAGATTCCCTCAACTTCTGTTTTTTTTGTTCTTGAAAGCACTACTTTTCCTCCTTGCTTCCCATATTGCCCCTTTCCTTTAGTTCTGTTTTTCCTTTTATTGCTCCTTTGCTTTCTTACTGTGCTTTATTTCACTCTCCCTTTCTCTTTCCCCTTTCCCTTTTTCTGTCCAATTTCCCCTCCCTTTTCCATTCACGAATGACCAGCACCCATCCTCTTCTGCTGCATGGCTGAGCAATTAGTGCTGACATGAAAGCAATTCCTCCATGCTTCTGGATGGTTTTAATACTGTCTGCTTTTAAAGGGTATTCTCAAAACATGCTGGTGCTTCTTCAGTGCGGAGAAGCTGGTTTTTTTCAGTTCAGCAAGGCAGATTTTCCAGCCTCTGCTTGGGCAAAGAGTGAAGGGGTATTACAGGCTGGGTGCTGTGAGGGGTGCACTTTAATACTGCACTGCAAAGGGCAGTCCGTCCACAAGACAGCAACATTACCAGCACAGGAATCAAAGGCTTACATGTGCGCACAGAGGGGCGTTAACAGGCTTTCCAGTGTTTATTTGGTGATGCTTCTTCACAATTCAGTTTTTTCCTCCTTTCTCTTCAGCTTGTTTTCATTCTCCTTTATTTCCTCACCCCCTCTTCCTTCAGCCTCCCCACCTGATGTTCGATGAAATGCATTTGCTGATATCTCCTGATCCTTGCTGGGCAGTGCTCGGAAACCTTCCCTGTGAGAAGCATGAGTGAGGGGGATGCTCAGATTTCCTGCAGTTTTCTGTCACTTGGTTGTCAGATCTGAGTCCTGCAGGTTTCTGGGATCATGGTGAATGAAAGACTATCATTGCCATGATATATTATTTCTTTATTTATGCATTATTTTCTCCCTTCTGATCTTTATCTCTGCATTCCTCACTTGCTTTTTTTTTTCCCAAAAAACATTCTTGCTAGTAGTGCCAACAAAGATCAAACAGAACTTTTTTTTTTTTTTAATCTTAATCCTGACACAGTAATTCTTACTCACTGGGAGAACAGTCTATCCCAGTACTCACACAGATGACTAACAGGCACAGACTACTATAGGTTGCAGCATTAGCCTTGTTTTAATTCCCTGAACTGTTATTTATGTGGTTTTGCCATCAGTTTTTAGAATGTTACTTCATTAACAAGTCCTATTTTGCTTATTCCTAGGGTCAACTTGAAGGACAAGCAGTTTTTGTAAGTATTGCTTCAGATGAAACTTGGTTGCAGCTGTGATTTAAAATGAAATAATTGAAGGTTCCTGACCTGGTCTTTCCACAGATTCACACACAAAAGTTGATCTCAAATGCCGAGTCTACTTAGCACTTACACAGGATCTTTTGTAGTCAAAATGTGGCAAATAGTAGTGAAAGCTCAAAATCCAGAGGTGAAGAAGGTGGACACATGCAGGTACAGGAGGTCCCTTTTCAGCAATGGATAAACTTTTCTCTCAGTCATCTAACCTATTTATGGATGTCTTGTTTTAATCAAGTAAACTTGTGTAAAAAATGAGCTATATCCGGGCAGTGAGGACTTACAGGGGACAGGGAGAGTCGGGTAGTCAGACACGCAGTGGCAGGGAAGAACAAAGTCCGGCAGTGGGAGAGGAGACGGAGAGGGCAAAACCTGAGCCAGGCCAGCGAGAGCCGAGGAGGAGGAGCGCGGGAAGAGGCCAGCCATGCAACGCCCAGGAGGGGGTGGGAGACTAATAACTAGTATAAAACAGTTTTGAAAGAAATACCAGCCCTCTTAATGGCTTTGCAGCTGGTGAATTATTTAGAGTAATTATTTCCAGTCCTGCACTTAGTCTAGTCTGGTTCCTATGAGCAGTGAACAAATTTGGTTTATTTTGGGGGGGGGAAGCAAGCAGGAGGTGCTCAGGTTTGGGTAGGATAAGGGCAGTGATTTCAGTGTTTAACTGAAATCCCTAACATCAACAACCTCTTGCAAAATTTTTTTTTCTGAGAGCTGTTCTAGGAATGGAGAAATCCCACAAAGTTGGTGGATCTTGCACAACTGTCATGGTCTGAATTAAGGGAAGTTTGGTGGGACTGTAGGAAACTGATGTCCGGATGACACCTCAGGATGCACTTGAACCAGGACTATCTGGTTTGATCCCAGCTGAGCTGAGTCTGGACTATGGCAGTTCAGAATTGAGGTTCCATGCTGGGGCCCTTTTTTCTGCTTGATAAAAATAACACTTCTGAGGGGTACTTGTGGAGCAGTGTGACTGACTGGGATTAATCAGCTCCCAGCTGTCATTAATCCTCAGGAAGTGGTGTTCTCACTGAAATGCTTTCTGTTATATTCATACTGAACTCAACAGAAATCTGCAATAGTTTTGTGGTTAAGTCTGCATAGTTCATGTTTCCGTCACTGAGCCTCCTCTCCTGGTGCCGGGTACAACCCTGCTGCTTTCTCAGAGAGTTTTCTGGACTGTGCAAGACTGTCATAGCAAGAGCTGAACTGGGTCGCTTGTTTCTGTGTGTGCGTGTGTGCACGTGCCTGTGTGTTAGCAAAGTGGATGAGGTATTATAGCTGTATTGTGTCATCTTGTAATAGAGAACTCCTAAGTGAAAGCAGCAAGGAGAAGTGCAGATGCAGTACAATGTAATAAGGCAGTTGTTCTACAGGGCATAATATTTGTGAAGTTGAGAACAAATATTTAAAAAAGAAGAAAAAAAGCAAGAAAAACTAGCAGGCTTTAAAGGTGGGAAGTTTTAGGTCAGGCGCAGAGCCTTAGAGAACAACGGTGCTCCCTATCAAATCACCAAATTCACCAGTACAAAATGGGGAGTCACCAGCTGAGACCAGCAGTGGAGGGAAGAATTTTCGGGGGATCAAGTGTCATTAAACCCAGCTTGGTTTCTGCAGCTGGGCTGTAATCCAGGGTTTGATGGGGTTTTGGATTAAAAAAAAACAAAACAGAAAACAGGTTTTCTTTGGAAAATAATTTGTAATCCAGGTTTCTGTGAGGCGACTCACTGCGCAGCCTCACAAACAGTTTCAACACACTTGGAGGGAAGGCAAGCTGTGTGGCAGGGCAGGGAGGGACACGCAGTTCCTATGTATACCTGACTCCTCTACCACAGAAAAGGCATCACATTGCTTCACCCCATTCAAGAATGTGAGATTGTAATGAAAATACCAAATGTCATTTTGCAGGGTTTTAGCAAGAGTATTGTGTAAGACAAGAAAGTGAGGCTGGTGCCTCATAAAGCCTCACCGGCAATGTAATGTCCAGTTTGGGGTATCCTGCTTCAAAATACAGAGGCAATCTGAGTGGAAAGAAAGACTACAAGAATGATGAGGAGCTAACTCTTCCACATGCCACCTAAATTCCTTATCTGTGAGGCCACTGTGTCTCTTCCAGGATGGAGAAAACTTGGGTTTAAGACCCTCCTGCTAAATACAATTAAAAAAAGAGGTAGAATATGTACTCCCAGGCCCCTGGACAGTGGGGTACAAGTAAACGTGTTTCTTCTCCAGAATCGTATGTGACAGTGTTCTGATGTGAGGTGGGTATTCCCTGAGATTGCCACGAGTCAGGGTAGCTTGATGATGTCCTGAATCTTTACCTGTTCACTAATGTCTTGATCCTAGAAGATTAGAAGATACTTGATCTCAAAGGTACTTACTATATGTCCAGCTGCTGTGTTCATGGAGAGGACATTGCCAGAAGAAAGAAGCAGATAGCCAGGAGAGCACCTTGCTGAGGTTTTGAGGGTACACACGTTGAACTTAAATACCTAAGTAGACATTAGGACTTTGATCTTGATTGGCTTTGTAGTCAATGAGATTCATTCTTTTTAGTTTATTGTAGACTTGAGTCTGGACATAATAATATGAGGCAAGTACATCGATATCCCACTCTCTGCAGAGGCCAAGTTCCTGCGTAGTGTGAAAACAATACAAATTTTTTCTCATAAGAATGGATATAAAGAGGGATCCTGGCAGGAACAAATGCACACAGTTTAAATACGGATGGACGGTGTGTATGGCATGGAGGATGGAATGGCAGGAGCAGGATCGTCAGTATTGTCATTGGGAGGAGGTGCTGACTTTTCAGATCACATTTTGAAAGATCCCAGGCACTTCAGCTATAAGACTGAAAGACCCAGATAAATCTTTTGCTGTGACTGTTCTTGCTGCCTCTCTCTGGGCAGTTTCTTTTCCAGCATTGTTATCATCTCTCTCAGATGAATCCAATTCATTCAAGCAGATCAAGGGTGAATGATGGAAAAACAGGATAATGGTCAGGTGGCCCATGTTAATAGGAAATCAGTGATGGGGCTCCAAAACCGCGACTAGAGAAATGACAGATGGCAGGGTGTTGCCGAACAATGTTGTAGTAATAACATAAGTTCCCCAAGGAATAGAGAGGGAGATTTTTGTCCAAAAGACCATCATAAGGAAATTTAGCAGTTAATAAAATTTTGGGAATGTTTACTATTTTACTGCAACTGGAAATGCAGATTTAAAGTCTGTTCCAGCGTGAAGAGAAAGGACATCTCTGCATTTTCACATGTAGTATGAATAATGTTTTTAATATCAGAGAATGAAAAACAGCAGAATCTCTGTAAAAGAGTTTTTTATCAGTGCTTTTTTCCACACCAAAACAGTCTGTGGTGTAGAACCTGGTATGTCTGTTTACTTGTATGTGCTGTCAAAATTTGTAAATCTGGGATTTGCATCTCTCTACAGATGGGGTACAGGTAAAGAATACTGAATTTCTATATGCATGTACACGTGCTCCATTAAAGACCAGATCTAAATGTCTGAAACTGATCCATGCTATGTGCACCAGCTAGTGATAACACGTAATTTTTTGGTGATGTTTGCTAATTTCTGGGAGATTTGAGCAGGCTGCACTGAACAGTAGTACTCAGCAGCACAAGCTCTTCACGTGGAGGTTGGCATCGCCTCCCTTGCAGTAGCTGTCTGTGGGTTAATCTTTCTGTGTTTGTGGCAGAAGGACAAATAAGGGAAATGCTCGCTTCATGTCAAGACTGATAGCTAGGCTAGGAAAATTGTGAGAGGCAATGGGACTGGTCTCTGCTCCGTGAGAAATTAAAGAACATCAGTTCACAGTGCAGCAACTTGCTTCATTCTCAGGAGCTTCTACAGTCTATGGATTTAAAAGAAAAACAAAGCAAAAAACAGATTAAAAAAAAGAAAAGAAAATGCACCAGACTGATGCTGAATGCCAGCAATTGGCTCAAGGGAGGGAATAGTATGTGACTTTGACTTCACCAGCCAAAAAAAGGCGGACGGCAAATGCAAACGATCTGCAACCTTGTGAGTTATGCTGAGAAATGGGTCCAGGTCACCCCTGCGGATTCCCCAGGGCGAAGCTGCAGCTTGAGAGGAAACACATGGTGCTGTTTGTGTTTGTTGCTTCTGAGCTGGGCTGGGGACAATCCTCCTAGGAGCCTGCATGGAAAATGCCGTGTAAGATCCCCAAATCCCAGATCACAGCACCCTCCCCAGTTACATGGAAAAGCTTTCACGATGTTCTTGTCTTGCCTTCTCTTGACTCTGGTAGGAAGTTGTTATCGGTGATCTAAAGCCAGGCACTCCACACCGCGTTAGCGTGGGAGCATACGGCTGGGCAGGGAAAGGACGACCCAGCATGCCCAGAGACGTGACAACCTTATCCCAAGGTAATGCTGCGTACGTGGCTTTCGATTGCAGAACTAGCAGGGCACATGCCTGTAACACAGCAGGTCACTCGCACCGGAATCCCTGTCATGTGCACTATTGTAATATTTAACTATTATTTTTCCACAAGTGTGGGGTTTTAGAGGGGCAACAGGTGGGAGGAGAAGCCTATGAATTTGATCCCCAAATCTGTGGGTGTTGGGTTATTGTGTGTATTATCCTGTCTGCTTTAATGCTGTTCCTTTGCATTTTTTCTGGCTTAGATAAGTGCATGCCCCCTGCACCGCCCTATCAGCCTCAGGTCGTGGTAGTTTCTGATTCAGAAGTTGCGTTATCCTGGAAGCCTGGAGCGAGCGAAGGAAGTTCTCCCATCCAGTACTACACAGTGGAGTTTATCAGGCAAGTTTGCCAGTGGAGTCTGTATTCAGTCTTTGTGCACTGCAAGTTTGGGATTTTTTTAACCTAAACTGCACTGTTAAACTGCATACAGATTTTTCTCACAATTTGTTTACTTACGGTGTATAGTAGACTTAGTTTTCCTCTCAATGTGTGTTGAATTACTGTGAAAATTTAAAGACAAAACCAGAAATAATATAATTTCTTATAAAATCACCAATAAGTCATACTTTCTGATTGAAGAAAATAAGGTCTAATTTGATCCGTTCCCTGTAATAAAGGCCTAGGTGAATAAAGTTTTAAGTTCCTCCTGTCGTCAAACGCCATTGAACCATGCTGAGAAACGAGTGTTTGGCAGAGCAGTTCCCCTGAGCAGGAGCACCCTGGGCTGCTGTAGGAAATAATCCAGGGATTCCAAACTCAGTATGTCAGCAAGTTTTATCTGAAAGAAGTCTTTTGGGTCTTGAGCTTGCAGAACTCAGACTTACTTTGTTATCCTAATGCTAATCAAGTTTACATGAAATGTTGGCCTTTCTGTTTAAAGTTTTTTGGGGAAGGTGAGGTGTTGGTGGGTTTTTTTTTCTTCTTTTATGTTGAACTCTCTAAAATTTGAAGTAATGGAACCAAACTGTGAAACGTTGCCAATCAAGTTGCTTTTATAAGATGCATATGAAGGGTCAGGAGGAGGTGGTTGTATCTGCATGCACAAACAAATATTCATACCTGACTGTTCATATGTTTGTGTAAGCTAATATCTGCATACAAAGCTATTTATTTTCATTTGCTTGCCCCTATGTTTACCCTTACAGTGAATGCAAAATTCAGCCTTTGGAAGTTTAATCCTTTGGGTAGACACTTGCTGACAGGTTTTAGTTCAGGTTCCTGAATAAGAACTGAGAATTGCTTCTTTAACTATTCTGAGCTGTAAAGGTAAAAAAATTATTCTTCAGAAAAACCCACTCATTTTTTAAAAAGAATTGTTGCTGTTAGACAGAAAGAACTATTGGTTTTCAGTGCTCAAAGTATGGTTACAATCTAGAAGATCCTGATATAATGAAAAGAATTCCCAGGCTGAAAACCTACTTGTGAACTTATGTTGCTCTTTGTGTTTGAATCAAAATATCCCATATTTAGTGGGAAGCCATCCAATGTTCGTTACACTGGGAGGCAGGACATGAGGACTGAAGATACGTTATGCCATCATGTGAACTCTGCTGTAGCATTACCATGAAATTTCTCCATCATCTATTTTTTGAACACAATCATTAACTGAGCCTTTCTGTCTTCTCCCCACCTCTTCTGTCTCATTTGCTTGGTGGATGGAGAAGGGATTTTGTTGGGGAAGGGTTCTGATTGAACGCATTTCTGCTGCCTCTGTGCTTTGGTGGGACAGTGGAGCCTGCAAGTTTATGTACGCCTCTTCATAGCACCAGGGGCCTGCTAATGGAAGAAGAAGTGGGCACTATCATCTCCATCTGATGCACTGAAAGTGCACCCTTGAATGTTTTTGCTCAGCCAGGGAGTGGAAAGCTGCCTTCACAGTTTAAGTCGAAAGATGCGAGTAATTGAAATTTCAGTGTTTCGTTGGTTTTAGACTTTGGGAAAGAATTTTCTAACAGCACAATGGTTTGATTACAATGTTTAGTTTGAGGTTTAAAGCTGAGCTGGGAGTGTATTTGTTAATTTTGGGATTATGCTCTCTTAGACTTGGAAGCTTGATTATATATTTGGAGAAAGTTCAATGAGCCATAAGCCCTAATTGCAGTTAGAGGTAAAGATTTAACTTTAAGCTTCATTGTCTGTTGCTCCATATAGTTTTAATTACTGTAAAATGTATTAACATGAATTAAAGCTGTTAAATTAAACCACTGTAAAAGCAAAACAAAACAGTGCAAGTAAATTTAGAATTAAGTCTTCTTATGTCGAAGAAATACAATATTATCCTGTGCTTTTGCAAAATTAATGACTTTCTTATGCAAATCTGTAATTTCTTTTGGGGGCAGCACAAACATCTAAAAACCATGACATTGTTTAAATCATTTTAGTTCCCTTAGAACTAACTTTATGACTTTAACCCTAGAAAAAAAATGCTAGGAGACTGAGATGAGGGAAAAACAGTCTTTTCATTTGCTCAACTGCGATACTGGGGATTAAAACCTCATGAAAATTCAATACATTAATTGTTTGCACATGTCAAAATCTGATCAGAACCAGAGCTAACCTACAGTCCGTTTGTACTTGCAGTCTAAATTTGGGCCTTTATTTAGACATTTGCATGTGTTTCCCATGGGACCTTTTGGTTCACCCTAGGCAGTGGAGGGCTGCAGGTGGTTTCAGATGCAGGAGGAGCTGGGCTAACTCAGGCTCTGCTCTGCTGTTGACTATAAGAGGATGCTAGGGAGACCAGAATCCCAGCTTGGCTAAATGCTGCAAATCAGGAGGGCAAGTGTAAGTCTCACTGCTCACTGCACAGCCCATAGGGACTGTGCAAAAGAACGTGTTAAAACCAAAGTACCTAATGGTGTCTATGGAAGCTTGTGTAAATAGTCTAATAGCATACATTTATGCTGAGAAATATTTTATGGCAAATGGCATTCTTATGAAAGCCTCTAAAGTGAGACCCTGGACATAGACATACTAGTTTGGGTGTTTTCCCTAAAGGTACTATAAAAATTAATTATCGAAAATGTCTTGGCTATTTTCACTTGAATACTCCAAATACTCACATTTTTAATCTGTTGAATGCCTACCCAATCTTCTAAACTTGGAGACTAACTTACCCAAATTTTTATAGTCAGCTAGCTTTGACAGAACCAAAAGTGTTTCAGCAGTATCCCCTGAAAGGATTAGGTCACTTTCTTTTCATCTCCTTGGTACGTAGATGGAGTTAACAGCTTTCAATATTAATCTTGACGTTCTGGGGAAATTTTTCAGTATCTCGATAATGACGTGAAACTTCTGCTGCAATGAACTAGGCAAGTTTTGTCAATACAACTGGGGAGATTTATCAGTATACAGATGTTAGGGTGGAGCCGATTCAGCATAGCATTGTGGGCAGATTTCTTGATTAGTTTGAAGCCTTCCCCCCCCCCCAAAAAAGGTGTGTCCCTGAACCCATTCTGTGCTGATCTGTCCCTGGTGCTGCATTGAACTGGGCAGTCATATTTGCTTCTGTTTGCAAAGAACCTGAAAACAGACCTGACCAAGGAGACACCTCCTAGTGCCCAGCAAAAATACCTTTAATACTGTTGTCCTGATTAATGGATGAAAAGATACATCTGCTTCAACAATTACATCACTGTTGGTGAGGGTTAAATCCTTCAAAAAGTAATTAATGAAGAAAGAGGAGTGGAAGATGTAGAAATTAGGGAGGAAGTGCTGAACCATGTTAGATAGTATCAGAAGAATATTTAACAAAAGAATGAGGTTAGAAAATTGCCTGCTTTTCCTTTCCTCAAAGTTGACCTGGCGTATTGGTTGATCTATTTTGTAGAAACTGTCACAATAAAGCTAAATAATAATAATTACTAAACCAAATATCCTATAGTACATTATTTTCTACAATTATTATTTTCCATAGTGAATAAGAATGTATTGTAGTTGTCACCACATTTATAGGAATATTTTTTTAAAATCGTAGAGATGAATTTGCCACTCGAGATGAGTACAAACACGGCACAAAAGAACAATCAAAGACCTTAGAAAAATTGGATTGCTAGCAGGTGCTTCACTCTGTTAAATCATTTCCAGGTGATTTTAAGATGAAGTTTAAGGGAGAATAAAATTGCTATTCTCTGCATCAGAAAGATTTCCTTTCTTAAATTGAATCAGCCCCCAGATTACAATGCAAAGCAATAACCCAAATGTTTTGGGTATGTTTGGGGCAGAATTCTGCCCTTGGTTTAAATCCATCCAGTCCTATTGACTTTACCTATATATTTATTATCTTAAAAACACTCTGTCACTGGCCAGATTCTTACTGCATGGCATTTCTGTGTTGGAGGTGCAGACCTGTAACTTCAAGAGCAGAAAATGCCCATGGCAGTTGTCTGATTTCCCTGTGCACAGATTCAATGTCTGGAGCAGCCCTGCGAGGTCTGGGCCAGAAACAGAGACCGCTGTGCCAGTCCAGCAAATGTAGCGCTGCAAAGAGATGGGGAAAAATGGCATCAAAATGAGCCCTTCTGGTATAAAAGTTGACACAGACTGAAATTTGGTGCAAAAAAAGGACCATGAAGACAGTTTTTAACAAAATGTTACCAGCTTAGAAAACATGGGAGCTGGCTGGTCCGGGATGCAGTCACCAGCTGCGTTTGTTGTGTTCCTCTCCCCATCTGTTTGCCATTTTTTATATCTTGTACCGATTTGTTCACACAGGGAATGTTCTGGAGAAGTAGCAAAGGTCAAGTGATAAATCTAACCTTCAGCTGCAGATGCTTACACGTTTGCAGGCATTTCCTTTAGTATTCACTTCTGCGGAAGGAAGTCTTGTGAGACACAGTCAGTGAAGACTAGCCTATGATTTGTGTTATCTTCTATATCTTCATAAGGTGCAATACTTCCCTTTGGGTCCCTTCATCAGAGGTGTGTTGTTTCCATTTGGGCGCAGACATTGGCAGAGTCTGTTGCAGAGAGACTGTGAGACTGCTCTTGAGCTAGCAGGAATTCCTTGGGCTAGAATTGGAGCCAAAAAAAGATGTGTACAGGAAAATTGAAAACACTACTAAGTGAGCATGTGGAAGGAAGCGATGTTAACAGCTTTCATTTGGAAAACACTATACATTTTCATTTTGGCACAGGCATCAAAAGCTCAGAGAAGGGAAACAATGAAAGAGTAGCCAAAATAAGTGCCCTCCTGTCTACCAGGAAATGGTGGTGGAGGGTGACTTAAGATGGTCTGTTTAGTTGTTATTACATCTTATGCATTTGTCTGATTATTTTTTTTTTATTTTTAGCAGGACAATGAAATATTTGCACCCTGTGTGCCATTGCACACAGGAGCCAGGCAGCTGGGAGCTGCTGCTTTGTCACTGCATTTGCCCTGCTGGCACAAATCAATGAAACCTCAGTGATTAAAAAAATCTTGTATTGACTGGTAAAAGAAAACATGCATTAACTTTGGCATTTCTTTCCAGCTGCAAATAAACAAATACAAAATGCCTGCCTTGTGCTATAATTTTCATTGGAAGACTGTTGGAGACATTTGCAGCTAGTCCTATGTAAACATCGGTAGATTGAGGGAGCACTTGGAGGTTATTTCCTGTAATAAATATCACAAGGACGTCTCAGAAAAGGACACTGGAATAATTTTTCTCTGAAAGTCATTTCTGTCCCTACTTTACTTTCATAGGCTTCAATTTTAATATTTTGAGTGGCCTAGACTTAACTTTTTTTTTTTTCCCCATTTATTTACCTTCTCGTTTGGTTCTCTCTTTGATAAGAAGAGACCACTTTTAGAGAAAGCAGAAATGATATGAAAGCCTAAGAATACTCTCTCAAAGTATTTGAAGTAGCCTTCCCCTTTTTGAGGTCCCTCTACATATGAACTTAAACTTTTGAGACCAAACTGCCATATGAATTGTTGTACTGATTGCAGATGGATTATAATGGCACTTATAGCAAGCATTTATTGACAGCTGGTTTCCAGTATGAATCAGGAGTTAACCAGGCATTGTCCAAAGGCAGACATGGTAATTTTGTTGCACAATAGAATCATAGAATCACAGAATAGTTTGGGTTGGAAGGGACCTCAAAGATCATCTTGTTCCACCCCCCCTGCCATGGGCAGGGACACCTTCCACTAGACCAGGTTGCCCAAAGCCCCATCCAACCTGGCCTTGAACACTTCCAGGGATGGGGCATCCACAGCTTCTCTGGGCAACCTGTGCCAGTGCCTCACCACCCTCACAGGGAAGAATTTCTTCCTAATATCTAATCTAAATCTACATATCTAGACCAGGTTTTCTGCATTATTATTCTGGCTTTTTTTTTTTTTTTCCTGAAGACAAGACTTGGGACTCAGATTTTCAGTAACCTGACTGCCTGGGAGATCAAATATTAGATTCTCATCCTGCTAATGCTTGTATATGTTTGAAAGGGCTTAGTGACATTAGAGCACAAACTCTTGGAAATAAATCAGGATCCTTCCCTCTATTGTGAAGTATTGCTTTATACAGCCAAATAGAGGATTTGGTATTGTGGGTGATATACCTCCATGTTAAAATTGTGAACCCAAAATCCATGAAAACAGATAACCGAACTTGATTTGTCAAACTGTCCTCTAAATAAGATCCTTGGCTTTATAAGCAAAATCTGAATATTGGTTTTGTATCACTGTATAGTTTTGATATCACAGGCTTTGCAGCTTAGTAATAGTTGCACGGTCTGACCCCTTAAGAGTGAAAGATTTCAGTGGTGATGTAGCAGGCTTATATCTCATTTATTTTGTTTATTTCCCAGGAAAGTTTAAAGGCAATTAATTTACACAGACAGCTTTAATTATTTATGATCTTGGCTTTGTTTGATCCTGAAGGCCAGACCTTGACAGCAACTGGACGATAATAAGAGAGCAGATCCAGATGGAGTCCATGGTTCTCAAAGGACTGCTCCCAAACACCAAGTATCAGTTTGCTGTCCGAGCAGCAAACTCCTACGGATCCAGCCCTGCCAGTGCACCGAGCGATATCATCCGAACATTCAGTGAGTAGAACCACCTTTTTGTAATTAAAGCTTTATAAAAATAAAGTATCCCTGTAAATAAAGTGTATCTGGAGTAGCCTGTGGAGGGCTGCGGGTGGAAAGAGTCACTCTCCAAGCACAGGCACCCCCAGTCTGGCACCTTTCCGTGGAGCTTGCAGCATCCTGTGAAAGTCAAGCCACAAGCACAGATTTTAAAAGCTCCAAGCAGAAGCTCTCATGCCATTTTGCTGCTCTGGAGGTCATCGTCAGATATTTTTGGATCGCTACTTACTGACTTTTGCGCTGGCTTCATGCAGAACCGATAAGGGAATATCATGGGGAAAAATGGGAGAGACAAGTCTATTGTTCATCTTTTCTTTCTGTTCTTTGAAACTCAACTGTATATATTACATTTATAATTTAAACAACTCTGAAAGACCAAAGCAAATCTATATGATTTTCTGAGGAGTAAGGCTCATAAACTATTATGTACAATCATGAAAATAATGATATAAAGAAGTAAACATCCCATTTTGATCAGCAAAAATATTAGGTGAAAATGCATTCAGATATACTTAAATAATCACAACTTGTTAATTATTGTATTCAAATTTGTGTAGCAATGTAGGCCATGCACATTGCAATAAGGGGTAGGTGCTGTGCACATCTCCTGATGGCCTTCCTTGGGATATAATCCGCTGTCAGTGCTAGTGTCTCTGTGGGCTGACTTTGAGGTATTGTTGCTCCTCATCACCCCCAAAGTCATAGCTGTATGTGCGATTCCCAACCAGGCAGACACAGAGCACACTGGAAATTGTACAAATCACGTCTCACACAGCAAAAAACCCCAGTGTCCCAAAGAGAGTCAATGCAGGGAGCAGAGCCTGGGCTGGCAGGGTATGGGGATGAACTCAGTTATATCCTTAACGTGCCAAACTTTTTGTCATGTTTAACAGGCCTCAGTACTTTTAAGTTCCAGTTTTGAAGGCATTTATAGGAGATAGAATACCACAGAAGAAAATGCCTGGATATAATTTTAACAGATTAATGAACTATAAAAAAGAGTAACGAAACTGACTTTGTTTTCTTTTCTCACCTGCATGCTCAATTGCAAATGATCTTTAATTAACTGGTAGAAAATGAGCAACTGATATTCAGGTAGGACTGTGAGCTCTGCAAGAAGTATTTGCATGCTGCAGAAATGTGGACCACATCCTTAGTGATCCACCAATTGAAGCCGCTAAGGATTTATTTCTAAATTGCCTCCCTACCTTGGAATCCTTTGTTTTCATTGACTCTTGTATGGCATTTCCATTCTTTTTTCCCTTCTGTCATAAATTCAGTCCCTTGAACAGTTTGCATGAGGTTTGTTATGAGTGCTGAACTAGTAAGTTTAACTTCTGAAGCAAATGTTTGTGAAAACCACAAAGGTGCAGCGTGCTCTGGGGTTCCTTGGTCCCTGGATCCTCAAAGCTCAGCTCCTGCTGCCTCAGGCATGCTTGTGTGCTCGTTGGTATCCTGTTTATCTTTGGCTGCATTCTTTGGTCAGAAAAGATAAAGCATTTAGCTCTGTTAATAAGAGTGGAATAGTCTTCATGCTATGCTTATTACTGCAGTAGTCTAGGAAAGGCACTTTGCCTTTGGAAACTTCCTGTTCTGCAGAGACCTATCAAGATGTCTATGGATTTTTGTCAGTAGAGTTTGGAATCAGATTCATGCCTTGTGTATGTAAACACTGATTTCTGGAGAGGTTCACGGGGGCATGACTCTGTGCCTGGATCAAATCTGCAAAGTGAATGTATTCTGCATGTTGCACTGAATGGGCTCAAAAACTCTGCGCAGGTCCATGCAGGCACATGGGTGCTGCTGTGGCCGAGAGGCTGGTCTTCCTGCACCAGCGGGGCTGGGAGTGCTTGGGGGACACCCTCATGAGCGGGCAGATCTCCTGCAGCTTGGGGCCATGTCACGTCCGTGCAGGCTCCAGCCCTAACCAGGGCACTTGTATTTAGGGCTACTTTAGCAAACTCTGGGTCCTTTGGCAACTGCAAGTGTGGCTCCTTTGCCAGTCTGCTCTTCAGTTTCCAGGGTGGATTTTGCAAATAGGCTTAAAACTGCAAACAGCCACTATCCATGAAAGCCTGTGTTATCTTGTGGATATCTGCCTTGATAACAACCAGCTTTTTGCAGAGCAAGGACTGCTGTTCAAAGGCAGTGCCTTTAGAAATAAGTTCTGTGGCTTTCTGGAAGCGGGAATATAGCAGCTCTCACGTGGCTTTAGTGATGATATCTGTGCAAGAAACTGGTTTGGTGTTAACCAAATACACAAGTACATTCTGCATTAGTAGAAAAGCTAAACTTCTATTGTGAAAAAATATTCTTGATTAAAGCTGTGCATAGCCTGAACATTTATTTTCCCCCAAAACACTAAAAAACCCTGAACAGTGATTTAAACCATTGAAAAATGTAACAAGAAAAAAATCTATGCTAAGCATGAGGGCAACCACGTAAAACTCACTGCTAGTTCACATTTTGTACCTGCAGGTACCTTCCCCATCTAGTAGCCAGAAAGCCAATAGTTACCTTCTTTGGCTCAGTTAATCATTTGCTTCAGTTGCTCAGGTATAGACATTAGGAGGTCCTCTATGTCCTGTGGTTTTCAGCTGTCACTGAAGGAAGGCGTGTGCCTCCCGTGCATCTCCCAGACACCTGACAGTGCTCTGGGGGTGTCTCAGGTAGCGTAATGCATCTCAGATGACACCAGATGCCTGACTCTCTCAAAGTGCCAGCAGAGACCTCTTAGTCACCTACGGTGGCTGGAAAGGTGTCAGACAGTTGGCATGTCTGAAACTGAAATCTTTGCTCTTCAGGGTGCACATTGCAGGAATTACTACTTTCATTGTTACCATGGTTCCTCCTCCCATGTAAACAGTGAAACATGCCACAAATATTTGATGCTATTTTCTGACTGCCTGTATATTCCTCAGAAGCACCTGAAATATCTCAGGAAGCTGGCAGAAGTCCATACAATAGCTGGCTCCTTTGCATTACACTTATTCCATGAGTGCTGGCACTAAGGTCCTTAGTGTGTTTGGATTTTAAAAATTTGTAGCTTTATGCTTGTGTATCCTGGATTTTATGCTTGTTTTGAAATAATTAGTATTTTTCTGATGCTTATTTTATCTGAAGAGCAAATTCCCAGCATTACCTCAAATGCAGGGGACCTTCAGGGTCCGTGTTGCATTGCACAGAATCTCTTGCAGTTCTTCCAAGCGGACTGAGACAGAGATGAGTCCTGCAGACACTGAGTCCGCGCTACCTGGGAATGTTTTCTGCTGTTTTTTATCTCATTCTTATGTGTAATTCTCTCACTTTGTTTTCAAAGGCAGTTGGCTTTGCAGTACTCTCGACTGCATTGTTTCAGATCAGCATAGGACACGGCTGGCTTTGTTTACTAAAATGTTCATCTGAAGAGTTGCTGACTGTATCACCTAATGTGACAGATCTCCCAAGGCCTGTGCAAGTGGAACATGCGGCCTTGATTATAAGGAGTTACCCCCTTACCTAGTAAAAAATACATGTTTGCTTTATGTTACATTGGTCCATTTTCAGGGAGAAAAGAGAGGGCAAGTTTCCCCAAGGGTTCTCATTTATTTGTGATTTGTTTTCTTTTTTTTTTTTTTCCTAGAAGGAAAAGATGTAATAAATAAATTTTTGTTGCCTTTCTTAACTACAGATGCAGGTTGTGGGTATTTCACTTACATGGTTGTTTTTTTGCTATATCAAATCTTTCAAAGTGTCATGGACAATTTACTTGAAAACAAAAGATTTCACATTTCAAGTTTAGTAACAACAAAATACACTGTCCCAAAGACTCAAACAAACAGAGTGTCATCACCTGCATCGCTGAAAATACCCTTCATCTCCTGGGGAAACAGATGGGGTTTGCACTGTGCCTGGAAGGTCACCAGCCTTGGGCTTTGCCAGACCAACAGAGGAAGCGTCTTCTGTTAAAAATACCCTCCTGCTTGTCTCCACGGCAAACGCGACAGAAGTGGCTGCTTAATCCGGGTACATCCTTTCCTCTGGTCCTGGCCATCACCGCCAGGCTCATACGGAGCAAAGCACTGGCGCAGGTGCTTAAATATTCTGCATGGTGCTTGAATGTGTCTGCTGAGTCTCGAGCAGAGGAAAAGGACAGTCCCTCGGGCCCAAACCTTGATGTAAATGATGGTGATGTGTCCTGGAGATAGCAAATGGAGAAGGTTTTCCACAGAATCCTTTCCTGCAGATCTCCAAAATCTTTACAAAGGCAGTGTTCGACAGGGACAAAAAGCAAGAGACAGGCCAAGCGATATGCAGTGCCTCACTGTGAGTCACTGACAAAAATAAAGTCAGATTAAAATGCCCCCAATGTATTTTGGATTTAAACCTGTGAGGAGTTCTGCATGAAGGCGATCGGTCTGTTAACACTTCCATTCAATCTGCCCACGTTGCGGTGCCTGGTGATCTACCTCCTACGCTCTCCTGTGTCTCCTGATCAGTACGCTGGTGGCCACCTAATGGGCAAATAAAAGTTTGTGTGGCTCCCGGTTTGAGAAAGATGTCTTTGGTATAACTTAATCCCTGATTATTTGGAAAGAAGCTGTCTAAAGTTCATGACCCTCCACAGGTGTTCCAAGTAATTATGAAACAGGATTATAGGACCTCGTAGAGGGTCTGAAATAGGCTTCATCTCCTTGTACACTGAAACACTGGTTTAATGAATTATAGCACACTTATATTCTCTGTAGTCATTGTTTTGGTATTTACTTACCACTTTGCTTAATTGTCCCTGATTTGCCACTCATTATCAGATGAGCTCTCCACCACAGCAACATAATGCTCTTAAGAGATGGGCTTGTGTGGGGATTTCTCTGCAAAAAAAGACCTGTTAGCTTCTCTGCTGTTTGTTTTGTAGTTTTATTACATCACATCACATGTGAGTATCACGTCACATCCAGTGAGCAAACACCAAATGTAGGGCAGAGCAAGGCAACTGAGAAGCCAGTGGGCTGTTAGATGATCTCATCATTTGTGTGTATACTTACCTGGGTAAATTCAGGCATAGTCAGAAGAGAGTACATCTCCATGACTTCATTGCTTCTGGGTGCGTTATGTGTTACCAAAACTGGTCACAGGTCAGCAGGTAATGTAGTATGAGCTGGCTGAAACTCAGACAGAGCGAGAGGGGAGCAAAAGCAGGGATTTGGGGCTGTGCTAAAGATCTGTGGATATTAGGACACCTTCTGAAAGTACACTTTTCCTGGTAATGCCAAACTTACACCCTGAAGGTCTTTGAAGAAGGGCCTCAAAGCAGTCTTTTCTACCAGTCACAATAAGCTGCACCTTCTTTGCCCTCTCCAGGCTGTAAATGTTGTCCCAGTTCAATAAGGTGAAAGGAATGATTGTCTGGTTTAAAATAGTGGGTACATTTTGTGTCCCCAGGTCGTCTGTTGGAAAAGTGTGGAACATTTTAGTCTGCCACATGAAAGAGGCACACCTTCTGCTTGGGGAACTGCTTGTTTCTCCTAAGTTACCAGATCTCATTGCAGCTGGTGGTTATTGGTGTAGTTTAGTAGTAACTCCATTCAAATCAGGAGAGTTACACTTCGGTAAAACTGGCATGGCATTAAAATCATGTCTATACATGTAAGCAATTGTGCATATCTGAATGTGAATTCAAGACATAACATTTTTCTATGTGTTAATATGAAGATACTTCATTCTCTGTATTGCTTCATTCC